TAAAATGAACACTTGGTAAATAAGACCATTGAGGTCTCGTTTCATGAAATGCGGTGCTGAAAAGGCTCAATGCAAATACTGCAGTAACTAGAGGGTCAGTATATAGCTAGAGCGCCAACATTTAAAAGCAAAACAATGCGCTGCCATACCAATTGAACTGAGTAACCATTTGAACGATATAAGGCAACTAAACAAGGCAAACGACCTAGTTCACTAGTTCGTTCGATCACTGAAATGAACGTGATGAGCTGAATAAAAATAATGAAATGATGGACGAAAAAAAAATAATGAAATGATGGACGTCCACAAATGGTCGATTAGTCCGAGCATTTGTGGACGAACTATGCTCCGTTGAGGAGTGACAGTAGAAAACAAATTGAGTACAAAAAGTAATTGACAATTGGTTTAAGTGCATGTTAAATTCTGGCAATTTTCAATTGGTTTGAGTGCATGTAAAGATTGTCGTGTTACCTATTTAACAGGAAAAATAGCCATTATTTTTTAATTAACATCTCCTTAGTTTAAAAGAAATACCTGAAAAAACGAGTAAAGTTTTTATCACATTCATGGCGAAAATAGAATATGTTTTTATCTAAGTAGGTAGTATTTTTTTATCTAATTTCCCAACAAAACACGTTTTTGTCTGTTTGCTTAGTCTGCCACGACATCGTATAACCAAAAAAAAACCGTCACACAGCCTTGAGAGATTGGGAAGAAATCAAAAACAAAATTCTCATAAATTCCTCTATTTGCCATAATGTCGTGCTCACTGTTTATTTTATCAGCTCGGAATAATCACAAAAACCGAAACGATTGTTTATCAAATTAAAATAAATGTACACTTTTTAAAAAAACATATTAGATTTGGGAAATTAACGCCATGAATAGCGGCAAATAGCATAGCATGTAGGTAGGTAGTCAGTCAGTCCGTCAATGAACGGTTTTATTATTATTTCATATTTTATTTGTATCGAGATTTATTCGTGCGATAAATTGACGTCAAAATATTGGGTTATTTGGTGTGATTATTTTTTTGTGATTTTTAAATTTTCCACAATTTTCAATTTTTATTTTCTATTTATCCAGTTGTTTGTTTGGCTGAAATGCTCTGTTTATAATAAAAATATCAGTGGACGGGAAATTCTATGGATAAATATTAATGTTTTTGATTTTTGTGATTTTTTATTTGGCACATTAATTAGATTGAAATTAAGCTAAATTATTACCAAGAATTTTTCAAATAGCATACAAGACACTCTGTAACAGTAAATTGGGTGAAAAGTATCGATGGCGATAAATTTTTATTTATTACAAAATAAAAATTAGAATAACAAAAACAAATAATTCACCAGAATGGGGCTACTATTGGCCACTACTGTTTACATATATCATGATAATGATATTATTATAAAAAATAAAATAAAACATTAAAATTACAAAAATTTTGTTTGCATGTAGTTTTGTAAATTTAATCTAAATCTAAATAACTTCTTTATTCCAAACAATTTCACTTGTAATAATAATACTTTTATTTTAATAGTTAACTAAATTTAATGTCATTAATTATTATTAAATCGTTTTTATCATGATTGTCAGTTTTCTATTTAAACACTTTTTTTATTTAATTATATATTAACAATTTCCTATTCGAACACTTTCCACTCCGAATACCTCCCTCACCCATTTCAAAACTAAAACAACTTGTCTAAATGGCGTGTTCAAAAAACTGAAAATCCAATAGTAAACTAATTAAAATCAATTCCGACACGATAAATAAACAAAAAATAAAAAAACTCATGGCTGGGTAATCGTTCAGAACCTAAGCTTTAAAATAAACATTTTTCAAATGATTGAAATGACTGCTATTAAATATTATTATAAAGGCTAATAATAAATTGTTGTTATAAAATAATTATCTAAAATAAATTAACACGAATGTAAATACACAATAATATTGTGATGAATGATGTATAAATATATGTTTGATGCCTTTGGGATTTGAGAGTTGGACGAGTAGAGGAAATAGGAAAGTAGATCTTGAAATTCTTCAAAATATTTAAGTAATGTTCCGAAGTGTTTTTTTGCGGCTCCAACGTCAGAAAAAGAAGAAGAAATATGGTCTTAAATGAAATAAAATTTAATGAAAATAAGTCATTTAGATCTAAATTATACACAAATACTTTAAGTAAAAATGCCGTTAAGGTAAGTCGGTCCTAACTTTTTATACCCTCCCCCACAATACTGCCACTTAATCTGAAAAATGCCTAGGACCTGTAAAATGCCAACATCTATAAAATGCCGGACTTTTATAACTGGGATATATCAAAAAATCTACCGGACCGTAGGAAAATCTTCTAACCATGAATAATACAAAAAAGTGTCCTTAAAATGCCGGAAAGCGGGAGATACCGTTTTATGTGGACCAATATAAATAGTTTTTTGATATTTATGAGTTTTATAAACAACATAGTTTATGATTATCATTATATTACTAATTATTTTCACTGTCATTATAATCACTAGTTACATTTGCTTAACTGACAATCATTATATTATGAATATTATACATGGGCTCCATACCATGATTACATAAAGCGTAATCTATAGTTTCATATTTGTACTGTTTTATACCCTTCACCACACTGTGGTACAGGGTATTATGTCTTTGTGCATATGTTTGTATCAGGCAAAAGGAAACGAGACATACACATGGTTCCTCTTGAGAATATGCATAGAATCACTTTCTAAGTAGATTTATGCATGCCGTCCGTCCATCTGTCTGTCTGTCCATGTTAAATTGTAAACAAAATACAGGTCGCATTTCTGATCCGAATGAGATGAAATTTGGTACAGGTCACTTATTAGGGCCAAGGACGAACCCTATTGAAATTGGGAAAAATCGGTTCAGATTTTACATATATATTTTCGTCCGATTTAAGGTAAATGGTACACCAAAGCCCCTATATATTTTTCGATTTGAACGAAATTTGGCACAACACACTGAATTAGATCTAGAATGATGTGTGTAAAGTTACCTGAAAATCGGTTCAGATTTAGATATAGCTCCCATATATATGGTGCACCAAAGTTCCTATATATTTTTCGATTTGCACGCAATTTTGCATGGCGTACTTAATTGAGTCTATAATGATGTGTGCCAAGTTTTGTGAAAATCGGTTCAGATTTAGATAAACCTCACATATATATTTTCGTCCGATTTCATGTAAATGGTGTACCAAAGTCTCTATATATCCTTTAATTTGCACGAAATTTGGCATAGCGTACTGAATTATGTCTGGAAAGATGTTTGAAAAATTTCGTGAAAATCGGTTCAGATTTAGTTATAGTTCCCATATATATTTTCGTACGATCGTTTTCCATAAATTTGTTCCATGGTACGCAGACGATTCTAAATCTGCCTGGATGTAATTAAATTTATAATAGGTTTCAGAAAGACATGAGTATGTTACATCGAGGGAACATTGACATTCAATTGTAAGGATACATATGTACCTTATACCCAAAGTGGTGAAGGGTATTATATGGCTATGTTACATACCATTTTCCAAATAAAATATTCAAAAATATTACATTTTGATTTTGAAATTATATAATTGTTAACCGTGACCCACAATGATAAAAACATTTTACTGGTATAAAGCTCAAAGTTCCCAGGTTTAAAATATATAACACTTTTTCCTCTCTATCGAAATGGACTTTTAGCCAAAAATTTGGCCCACAGTACATCGGCTCAAATAAAAAACTATGGGCATGATGATCATCTGTACCGAATGACCTATTTTTCGTATCTCACATGAAGAAAAAATGCGTAGTAAACATTTATACCCTGCACCACACCTTAGGAGGTGAGTACAAATATACAATTGCCGTGCTTCAAACGTTTTTCAATCTGCACCCTAACAACACGGCCACAACGGCTTATACCAACGTTTCAGTCCTTGCTGGTCAACGATTTTCTTCGCCAGAGGTTGCTTCTGAAGCCTTCAAAAGCCATGTTTTGGAAACAACCTGTGTGGATAAATTGGATACGTGAGAATATTTCGAAAAATAATAAAACGAGTTTTGATGAAAAATATACGAATTCTCATTATTAGATGAGTAGTATAAATTTTATCCTTTCAATTAACAAGAATTTTCGAGAAATTTTTATTATATCTCCAGTAGTGATTTTTTTATGTAGCCGACACATCTGATACTTAACGTCGCAATGTGAATGCTCTCTTCTAAGCTATGGCACATTTCCACCATTTAAATGCCATAATAACCTCTAATCTCAAATTTTTTCATGATGTATGGTGTTTACTAAGCTAACTTTACGTGTGTGCGTGGGTGTTGAATTATTAGACAAATTTTAGAATTTTATTTGTCACCAGCGAAAAATATAGTATTTCTTCCGACATTACCTTATTTACTGCTCAAAAAAGACATGCCTCCACATGGCGTATGACGGCATGACTTGAGATGCGTAGCAAAGTGGTTTTAATTTAGTTTATCCATTTGATTTTTTTATAATTCTATTTTTTCTAATAATTTAATTGACTCATAAAACAACAGCGAAATGGACAAGAGGTAGCAAGTCACTTGTCTGTGATATACGGGTATAAATATGTGCGTGTGTCATTCGTACACCGCCTTTCATTGAATTACATGTGGATTACGACGCCAGTAATTCTCAATGACACAAATTTTCCTTAGATTCGTTGAAGAAACCGAAACACGCTATTGTGAGGGAGGTAAAGGCATATCAATACAATACGATTCTAAAACGTAGAGTAGAAAATATTTGACTACAAAAAAAATCCGATTTTACGTTAGTTCTTTTAATTATTTAATTAGATGACAACATGTTGTTGTTGTGATGTTTTCACTCAAGGAGAAGAGATTTTGTGCGGGGGTGGGGGAGATGTATTGAAAACAAAAAATTACTTTAAATTAAGCCATAGCAGAAACACAAACAACAACAGAGATTGTCGGAATACCTTAGTAATTCATCACGCCAACTTTGTTCGCTGGAATGAGTGGCACGAAATACCAGCATCGATAGGCGACTGAGGCTGCGTTTGATCTCGGGCATTTTGAATATGTTTGGGGGTAGGGGGTTTCTTTCTGCTTCTTAGTCTTCAATTACTGTGGCTGTGTTGTTGTTGTTGTGAATACTGTTACGGATGCTGCTCTTGTTCTTGCTCACATGCAATCGAAACGTTTTGTTTTGATTTACTTCCTTTTCTGTTTGAATTGAGAACAAACGAAGAACTCTGAAGGTTATGTTGTTACGAAAACAAAAAAAAAACTTTACATGGCAATGGCGCAAATAATGACCATTGCCTTAAATTTTACACTTTACACAGTCGTAGCATAATGTCATCATCATCATCTTATATAATAAATTCGAATTTGACATTTTTATGATTTCGTTTGTATTTATTTTTCGTTTTTCAGTTATGCACATTGCTTTGTGGTGTTGGTAAACAACAACACTTTCAATTTTGATTCCTTCGCCTTTAATTTTTTTTACTAAAACTAAGCGATTCGATTTGAAATGAACTTAAATTTATATAAAACCGAACGATTTGAAATGAACTTAAATTTCCGAATAATTTGTAAAAACTTTGAATTGAATTTTTCAAAATTATTTCTTTTTTGTTTTTGAATTTATCGTAACGACGATGTTGCCGTTTGCAATGTTTTATGTCAACTACTACTACTACTGCTGTGGGTGAGCACAATTTTTCGAAATTACATTTTGAAATTTCTATTTTGCTGTTGTCGTTTTGCAATTTTTGTTCTACGTTTGACAATTTGTTTTTTCTAGTCTTTGTTTCACTTTCTTTTTAGAACAATGCTGTTGTCTGTCTATTGCAATTATATTTGTAAATGTAGTTGTTGTTTCTAATTTCAAAGACGATTTTCTTGCTTGTTTTTTGAAATTAGAAAATGTTCAAAAGTAATTAAAACATATTATTGAGATAGGTCAAAGTGCATTGTACACGAAGCGATTAGTGTGTGGTGGGAATGTAAGCAATTTAAGCAAGTTATATTCGGGGGAGGGAGGTGTTTTAAGAATATTAACAATTCCATGAGAGATGAATGACAAAAAGGAACCCTTCATCTCAAAAGAAAACCAAGGCAAGAAGAAACCTAAGTTAATTAATACATTGTCTCAAAATATGAATTGTTCATTCTTTTTGCAACACCTCGAAATATTCACCGGAGTTCTCTCAAATGTATGCATATTATTGATCAGAAGGAAATTCTATGTCGATTTATGTCCGTCCTTCTGTCTGTCCCTGTGTTGAAATCACGATAGAGATCACAAGATTTAACATAGAGCTCGAAAAATTTGCACAGACATTGCTAGTTAGCGGTCATATAAGGGTACCTCCCAATATACGGTATATTTGGGATTTTGGACAAGGTTTCTAACCGAATTGGCTGTAATTTGGTATTTTGGGCTTTCATTGTATAGCACATTTCCATACTAAACATTTTTAATATTGATAAACGTTTGAGGGTAGCCTTCATATGGGAGCTATGTCAAAAAATTGTTCTGTATTCATATTTTTGTGCACATAAAAATTGGAAGGTATCGTTATATGGGGATTAACCTAAAAAGTCTACCAACACTTACAATTTTTTATAGGAGGAAAAATCACTGCGCGCCGTTTGCTACGGGTGCCTAAACCTCTGAAATATTCAGTTTTGAAAAAAAAACCTTTATATAAGGATCTCTCTATTTTCTTTGTGATTTTTTTACACCCTTCTCTTAATTTTGATTGAATGACTGTGAGACCGGCTTTGATTTATCCTAATCGGTTAAAAAAATGTTTTAAAGCTTGCACTAAATGTATTTTTTTTTAAATAATCTTCTTAAAAGCTTGTACGAAGTGCCGATTTTTTATAATATATTTTTTCAAATCATACACAAGGCGTAGTTTTTTTTAAATTATATTTTTATAAAGCATCCACAGGGCGTAGATTTTTTGAAAAAAAAACATACTTTTAAATATTTGTTTTTCAAATAGGGTTTTTGTTCAAAATGTCCAAAAAGACTATTTCAGAATTCTAAAATATGACAAAGAAACATGCCAAATTTGTTGTGTAAAGATTTTTTTGCATTTTCCATTTTAATATGAATTTCTATTTTTAATTTTTTTCTTTAATGATCTCGGTAGTGATTTCCCTTTGTTGTGGTCTTAAAAACATCCACATATACTAGCATATATATGTCATTTACATGTCATTTATTATTGCATGCTGTGATTATTTTGTGCATCTGATTGATTCGAAATGAGATTTCTTCAACCAAGGAAGATGTTTTCTCTGTAATTAATGTTATGCACAACTTATTGTCTTTAACGAATGCAATGACAATAATTTACAAAAACAAAAAAAGGAATACTGGTGGGCGGTGAAATTTGTAGTGTATAAAAGCAATCTGTTTTTAGCTGACAATCAGATTTTATTGAAATTCAACCGAAACATAAACAACGCCACCTGGCATAATTTACGCAAACGGAAGGACCTTCAGATAAATTGATACAGAATTTTAAATAAAAAACAGTAGGTAGTGGGCATATCCACAACCTACAGAAATATTTATGGAATTGAACTTTTGCAAAGTTAGCTTTCACAGCATTGAAAAAATATTTTAAAAAACTATGCTTTGTCGATGCTTTAAAAATTTTATTTTAAAAAATCGACTCTTTGTGAATGCTTTGAAAAAATTAAAGAAAAAAACGCCTTGTCGCAAGCTTTGAAAAAATTTTTTATAAAAATCTACGCCTTATGAATGTTTAGAAAAAATATTTTAAAAAATTTAGGCCTTATGGATGTTAAGAAACTATTGTTTTAAAAAATTTGCGTCTTATGAATGTTAAGAAAATGTTGTTTTAAAAAATCTACTCCTTTTGCATGCTTTGACAACTTTAAAAAAACTACACCTTATCGCTATGATTTTTTTTAAATCTACATTTCGTGGAAGCTTTAAAAATATGTTTTAAAAACCTGCACTTCGTACAAGCTTTGGACAAAAAGATTTTAAAAAATCTACGCCTTGAAAAAAATATTTTCAAAATTCTACGTCTTGAAAAATATATTTCAAAAAATCTACGCCTTGAAAAATATATTTCAAACCAGTAAGGAAGGTAGTAAATCGGACGGGCCAACTATATGATACCCTTCACCACTTTGGGTATTTTCAACAGATGGAATCCTAACAGACGTCACATTTTTGAAGGTCTATTAACATGAAATTTAACATGTCATTCTGCAACCTATACAAAATTTTGGTCAAATATAGAGTTGCTTCCTACAATGTGACAAAATTATGTAAATTAATTTAAAGCTAAATATCGAAATCTAAACCGATTTCATCGAAACTTGTCACATATTAGGTTACACTTATTTCAGTATGCTTTGTGCATTCGACCACCTTTTGCGTTCTTCATTTACTTATAAATCCAAATTTCGTGCAAATCGAAGGATATATAGGGACTTTGGTGCATCATTCACATAAAATCGGGCGAAAATATATATGGGAGCTATATATAAATCTGAACCGATTTTCATTAAATTTAACACACATATTTCTAGACTTAATTCAGAACGCTATGCCAGATTTCGTGCAAATCGAAGGATATATGGGGGCTTTGGTGCACTATTTACATTAAATCGGACGAAAATATATATGGGAGCTATATCTAAATTTGAACCCATTTTTTGAAAAATATATTTAGACTCAATTCAGTACGCTGTGTTAAATTTCGTGCAAATCAAAAGATATATAGCCACTTTGGTGCACCATTTACCTTAAATCGGACGAAAATATATATGGGAGCTATATCTAAATCTGAACCGATTTTTCCCAATTTCAATAGGGTTCATCCTTGAGCCAAATAAATGAGCTGTGCCAAATTTACAATTTAATGAGCTGTACTTTGCTTACAATTTAACATTGAAAAATATACGGAATGCATAACTCAGAAAAATGCATTTTCTCAAAAGGAACCACGCCTTGAAAAATATATTGCCTGTTACAAACATATGCACAAAAAAATATAGTGTGGTGAAGGGTATAAAAATCTACGCCTTGAAAAATATATTTTAAACAATCTACGCCTTGAAAAATATATTTTATACAATCTACGCCTTGAAACATATATTATAAAAAATATACGTCTTGAAAAATATATTTAAAAAAATCTGTGCCTTGAAAATTTATTTATCTACGCCATGAAAAGTATATAGGCCAAAACTACGCCATTCAATATATTAAGAAACACCAAAACATGGACGCATTTTTAATATCAAACATCCTAGAGCTCTCTATTGTGATTTCTACAGATGGACATGGCAGAATTTTATTCTGATCAAGAATTTATATACTTAAATATTTCGATCCATTAAATGATATAATCTAGTTTAGTCAACACCTTGCGCGTGCTTTGAAAAAATGCTGACATTCTTTATTTTTTTTTTCGGAAGACCCTGGAATCAAAGTGGGTTGATTCCTCGGTATTCCTGGAAAAATCATACCGATTATTGACGAAATTCCATCCAAACAACGATAAATCAATCTGAAGGATCTTCTGAATCACACCACACATTTCCTGACCCACCTCATTGATAATTTGCAACAACAAAAATTACCAAATAAATAAATTAAAATACCACCAACGACTTCCCGCCAAAATAAAAATCAATTTTAAACAAATTGTTTAATTGTTTGTTTACGGTCATAAATGTTTGTTTAAAATAAATACTAAATAGTGTTTAACAACGGGATTTTTTTCGCCACAATTTCCGATAAACACTTTAGACCCAATAAACCGGCAATGAATCAGTCATTGGTCGAAGACTTCTTGGTGGGAAATTTCAAACTAATCGAACATACAAACATATGTACATAATTGTGAAAATGTTTCAAAAATAGAATTGTTCTCACGAAAAAATTCACACATTTCGCATGCCAATTTTGTTACAACACTATCCAACGCCACACAACGGGTCCACATGATTTGTGTGATATGACCCCCGCTCGGTGGCAATAAAAACGCCAAAGCCAATACAACTAAT